GTGCAGTCACTCTGGAAAACAGTATGGAAGTTCCTCAAAAAGTTAAAAATAGAGCTACCCTACAACCCAGCAATTGCACTATTAGGTATTTATCCAAAGGATACACACATAGTGATTTGAAGGGGCACATGCACCCCAATGTTTACAGCAGCAATGTCCATAATAGCCAAAATATGGAAAGAGCCCAGTTTCCACTGACAGATGAATGGATTAAGAAGATGTATACACACACACACACACACACACACACACACACACACACACCGTGGAATATTACTCAGCCATCAAAAAGAACGAAATCTTGCCATTTATAATATTGTGGATAGAACTAGAGGGTATTACGCTAAATGAAAGAAGTCAGTCAGAGAAAGACAGATACCATATGATTTCACTCATATGTGGAATTTAAGAAACAAAACAGGTGAAAATAGGGGAAGTGAAGGAAGAATAAAATAAGATGAAAACAGAGTAAGACAATCATAAAAGACTCCTAACTATAGGAAACTGAGAGTTGCTGGAGGGGCTAGTGGGCAGGGAAATGGGGCAATTGGGTGATGAGCATTAAGGAGGGCACGTGATGTAATGAGTACTGGGTGTTGTATGCAACTAATGGATCATTAAATTCTATCTCTGCAACTAATAACACAGTATATGTTAACTAAATTGAAGCAAAAAAAAGTTCAATTTGAAGATCAAAATATCATGGAGGAATATTCATAGCAGTGAAAGCTTAAGTTCACCTAACTAACATTGATTGATTTTCACAAGTTTTCAAAAGTGACATCACTGTGCACAAAGTACAGGCTTTACATATATATATATATATATATATATATATATTTTTACTATATATATATATATATATATATCCCATCCTAAATATCCAATGTTCAAAGCTTTTATTACCCTATGAATTTTAAGTTTTCAGACATAGTTTCTAGGCTTTTTCAATAACCATAACTGAAATATACATCTTTAAGAAGGAGTGTATTACTTTAAGAAAGCTTTACTATTTAAAATTTAAGACCTCGGGGATCCCTGGGTGGCGCAGCGGTTTGGCGCCTGCCTTTGGCCCAGGGCACGATCCTGGAGACCCTGGATCGAATCCCACATCAGGCTCCCGGTGCATGGAGCCTGCTTCTCCCTCTGCCTATGTCTCTGACTCTCTCTCTCTCTCTCTGGGACTATCATAAGTAAATAAAAAAAATAAAAAATAAAAATAAAATAAAATAAAATTTAAGACCTCATTAATAAATGTATATTCATGACCCTTAAAGTGGACCTTTCAGCAGTTCTTCCAAGGTTAACTATTACCTAAAAATCTTAATACTCCTCAGATTTATCACTGTGGAAATATTTTTTATTCCAGCTAAACAAATGAACCCAGATATACAATGACTATACATAAAATGTACTGACTGCATCAGGTATAAAATTTAGTACATGTTGCTAACTCAACTTCAAAAGTCAACAATCTTTAGGCACAGAGTGTCATACATGATTGAAAACAGACCACTTCTAAAAAAAACAGAGAGAGAGACCACTTCTGCTATGTATCTGCCCTAGAATCTGTGATTAGAAAAAAGAACAAATACTGGATACCTACCAGGCCATTGCATGTATCTATCTATGACACTTTCCTCTATTACACTAGATGCTTCGACACTGCTCCATCAGAACACAGGCTATCTGAAGGTAATGTTAAATAGAATGATAAGTACAAGGAAGGAAAGGAAAAGGAATGTTCACGAGATCTCTTGAGGAAAACATCTATTCTTAGGGAGAGTAAAACAGAAAATACATCAAGGGCAATACCTGATCACAAGACAGCAACTGGTCCAAATTTTTAAACAATTAAAATTTTTTTTAATATTAGTAATATTAAATTTTAAATCTTTATTTCCTAATGTCTGAATAATCCTTTCACCTCTCTGGCTTTTCTTTAATGTCTTTACAGTAATTCATCTAAATGCTAATTTTTATTTAGTTATTTTTTATTGAAGTATAGCTGACAATGGTACATTAGTTTCAGGTGTACAACACAGTGATTCATTATGCAAGTTTATACATTATGCTACGCTCCCAAGTGTTAGCTACAATCTGTCACCATACAATGCTATTTCTCTTAAAATGTGAATTTTATGTTTAAATAATTAGTCTAAGATTTTGTTGATGTGTAAAACCTGCAACCATAGTAGAAACAAATAAATGCTGGAAACCCAAGCATTACTCTAAAATGAGTAATAAAGAAACAATATAAAATAGAAAGTTCTCCCACACTTTTACAACTAAGAAGCATTCTCTGAAAACTGGACCTTTCTCTTTGATACCACACAGTAGTTCAAACGACCACTCTTCATGGGCATATTATGAATGTGAGTTTCTCCTGCTCAAGTCTGCTCAGGGTGTGGCAATGACCTTCTTACTGGGCAAACAAGCGTAGTAAGAAGCACTTTGCTGTAGATACTGTAGATACAACAGCTGGATAATTTTATAGATTTCTTTCCTTCTTTTAGGTTATCTTTAATGTTCACAAAATAAATACTGTAAAGGCACAGGAACATATTTTAATTTACTTTACACCCTAAAAACTGTTCAAATACCTTAAAGAACCTCATTACCACAAGCCATACTGATAAGATTAGCATGGGAATCATTTCCTTGACTTGTTTTTCCCAAGAAAATGTTTTTTAAACACAATGTAACACTGTAAAGACAAAAAAGCACTAAGAAAGAAACTCTTAATTGTGCATTCCTGATTGCATTGAATCTCTTAATAGGATATAGTCTCTTAACAGCAGAATTATGTTAGCTACTATAATTACCTAAATAATTGAAAGAAGATATAAATCAAGAAATCTATTTTCAAATAAAGGAAAAGAAAGTTACACAAAAAAAATCTATGGTGGTACCCTACATGTGATGAAAACAATAAAAACAATATCCAGAAATTCTTAAGAATGCCTAAGATGATGTCATATCTTGGAATAATAAAAGAGATTTATAACTAGTCAAAATCTAGTTGTGCATATTTCCTAAGTTCAACAGTTAAAAGCTGATATTAACATTATAAGAATATTGACATACTGAAGTACTAAATCCTTCCAGTAAAAATGGTGAAAACACAAGCAAGAGATGCAATGTATTACTTTTAAGATGGAAAACATTAATGTATTTCCAAACAAATCACACAGAACTTTCAACCATAAAAAAAAAATACAAAAATGTTAACGATCTTTTAAAGAACAAAGAAAATACTCTCTCCAAGGCAATAATATCATTTGTTAGGTGCTATATTTACACCTGAAATTATTTTACATGTGTAGAGACTGTGGTGAGAGTGGGATTACACTACTTATTTTGCATATGACTATGTATAAAGTTTCTCAGCCCCAAAATAGCATATTAACTGTAGCTTTTAAACCCCCAACTCCATCCATAAAGGAAAAGCAGGAACAGAGAATAATGATTATACATACATATTTTTAATACAAATATTAAAACACAATCTTAAACATTTATGTATTAATATAAGAACTCCAAAAAGCAGAGCTGCCTAGATGGCTCAGATGGTTAAGCATCTACCTTCAGCTCAGGTCATGATCTCAGGGTCCTAGGATTGAGCCCCATGGCAGGCTCTCTGCTCAATGGGGAGTCGGCTTCTCCCTCTCACTCTCCTGTGCTCTCCCTCTTTCTCAAATAAATAAATAAAATCTTAGAGAAAAAAAAAAGATTTCAAAAAGTATTCAATCCCAGAAAACTGAAAAATGGATTTTTACATTAATATTTTTATCAGTCATAGGAAATAGAACAGTGTTCCCATTCCTTTAATCTTAATTAGCCAAGGCAAAAGATATTTAAGGAAAAAATATATATACACACACATATATTTTTTTAAAAAAAATTTTTATTATTATTTATTTACGATAGTCACAGAAAGAGAGAGAGAGAGAGAGAGAGGCAGAGACACAGACAGAGGGAGAAGCAGGCTCCATGCACCGGGAGCCCGACGTGGGATTCGATCCCGGGTCTCCAGAATCGCGCCCTGAGCCAAAGGCAGGCGCCAAACCACTGCGCCACCCAGGGATCCCCACACACATATATTTTAAAAGAAATGAATACTAGATCTAAGAAGAAAAATCTGAACATTTTATGAGTTAACCATGTTGAATGTAAATCAATGGGTACTCTCACCATCACATTCTAAGTACAGCTAGAAGAATTTGGGTCACAGACATTTTAAATGCTGGGGTTCCTGTGTGGCTCAGTTGATTAAGCATCTGTCTTTAGCTCAGACCATGATCTCAGGGTCCTGAGATCCAGTCCCACACTGGATTCCCTGTTCACTGGGGAACCTGCTTCTTCCTCTCCTCCCTGCTTGTCCTTTCTCTTGCTATCTCTGATTATCTCTTAGATTTGAAAAACCATATAGTTCTACTTTAACTGATACTATGTTTTAAAGTTATGTGCTAAAACCAAAGTTAAACTCATTTGCACCCCATGAAAACAGCTTTGCTTAATGTAGGAGCCGGTAAAGAATCCCAGCTACAATTCAGAACTTCTAAATAAAGATCTGGCAACCCCTCAAAACTAGTACCATATCAATAATAGTACAACTGGTCCTTAATGATACTCAATATACAGCTGTGTGCTAACCTAAAATCAAACTCTTTCTCTTTTTATATTACTTGAGAAAAATCAAAAACAAAAATGTAACCCTTCCCTCCCCTCAAAAAAGCTTATCCTGGATTATACAGGAGGGTCCTAAATGCAATCATATGTATCTTTACCAGAGACAAGCAGAAGGAGTTTTAAGAGATAGACATAAACAAGGAGAAGGTGATGTGAACATGAAGCAGAAAGATGTAGCCAGGAGGGATGCAAACAGTCACCTTAAGCTGGCAAGGAAGTACACTTACTAGATTAAAACAAATAGAAAAATAGTTAAAACATAAAGCCTGTTCTCCATTCTACTGATATGCAGGAGTCCCAGCACTTACCACATCACTAGCGCTGGAGAACTCATTATTAACCAGACTTTCCAGAGCCATCCACCGAACTGGCCTGTTTTCGTTGTCCCCTAGACAATGATAGTCCATGGGGAACAAGTCTCTGGAGAGAGCATTATCTGTGATCTTAACTTGAAGTGTGTCATCAATGCTGAAAAGTAAAGACATGAACATCAAATACAATCAGAGTATTTAAAACATTTGGATCACAGTTACTCTTAAATACAATACAATGCCCACTGTAACTCCTGGAGACAACCCCAAATCCAGAGAAAACCAAACATGAATGACAATGACGAGCTCATAGCACCTACACACAGTTTCTAGCAGCCAGGTCTTTGTGGATAACTTCCCTTCTGGCCAGATAGCTCATTCCACAGGCAATCTGAATTGCCATGTGTACCAGGTCTTGTTGAGAAATTGCCTGTGGTTTAAAAAAAAAAATGACATTGTTTGCAGTTAGCACAAAAATGATGATGGCAGCCAGCTGCTTATTTTATTCCACAATCCTACTCCATCCCAAAATACTTCTTTACACCTACACACAGAGTTTTAAAAAGCTACTTCTTCACCAAGAATACATTCCCATAGCTCTCTATAATATTTGTATCTACTATAGTCTTACCATTCTGCAATGTAACTTACCATTTACTTTACCACCTCTCTCATCTCATATTGGGAATAGCTCCCCAACATCCAGGACATACAGCAGCTCCTCTATAATTCAGCTGTTCCATGAATGCCAAATTCTCAAGGTAATATTTAATTGCTTATTATTCGATAACCTGTTCTTTTCTTAAAAGCTAATAGTTTGGATTAGGAGATGATCTCTGGGGACCATTTTCAAGCTAATAGTCTACAGCTCTCACTACTGCTATACTCCTCTAGAGTCAGCATGCCAGTCTGTGGGCTGGGGAATGAAATTCTTCCTCAGGTGATGCTGATGGGCTACAGCCTCCAACAACTTGTTGGGAACCCTGACTTTAATCCTGTCAATTTACAAAGTGTCCTGATGTATTAAGTCAAATATTCAATACAGCTTTCAAAGCCACTTTCTCCTGGCAACTGTAGTAAGTACATTATTATAAACCCTAAAGTAAACTAAATGTGGCTACAAGTTACAATAGGCAACAAAACATCAGCTAGGCTTTAAGACATCTACCATCATGTGCCTGGAATGTAACCAAATGCTCCACAGCTATGTGCACAAGCAATAAAGAGAAGAAAACTCTTAGATGACTGACATCTTATAGCCAAGGATATTAAAAAGAGATCCAATTATCCCCATAATTCAGACTTCTAGTCACCACCGGCTTTTGATACAATATGAACCAAATGACTCAGACAAGTGTGTTTCCACTCCTAGAAGGGAGATCTAGTATCAGTGCCTTCAAAGAGTTATCAGGAAAATGACTGAGATGGTGTTAGAGAGAGTCTGAGGTAATTATAAATAAACATATAATGGATAAAATGGAAAAATTTCAGCATAAGTAAAGTGCAACCTTCAAAACAGGTATCATAAATCATCTTCCTCTAAATCAACAGGTTATAAATACCTTCTGGCTCATTTTGAGTTCCTTTTTGCAGGGTTTTACACAGTTTATATATAAGAAAGTTAACATCTACTTTCAAGGAAACTATCAGAAATTCCTGGTAAATTATTGATAGTTGGGCAAATTTTTCTCACCTGAGGATTATTGGCCTCTACTAATTTGCACTGCCGTAAAAACAATTTAAGATTCCCCCAATTCATGTAAGGCAGTATCACCATGGGCTTTTCTCCTTCTTCTATACATACATGCGTAATAGGAAGAAGATTTCTAAAAAAAAAAAAAGAAAGAAAGAAAGAAAGAAATCAGGAAGAAGATAAGTGAAATCTAAAATCTCAAGGGCTTATTTTATAACCTAAAACAAAACAAGAAAATCTCAAACATACTTAAAAATGATTACCATTAAAAATGTAATAAAATTATAAATGCCCTTTGAAACTAGACTTGAATATTTTTCACATATGCACTTTCCTGATAGAGAAGAGCTATAAACGCAAAGTTGTTTCCTATGGACTGGATTCTCTGAAGATACATTCTAGCCACACTCAATCTTTACTATTAAGAGTTAATCAGAGACATTTAAAAAATGACTTGACACATTCTGAGTGTATTATATCATCCCCTTTAGTCCATCAATACAATGGGGGGGGGGGTGGAAACCCATGCAGACTATGGACCAGAATATGATCATCAAGAAGGCCTCAAAGAGGCTGCAACTGTCACAAAAGCAAGATGTCCTTAGCTGGTCATATGGGACTCAGAATCTGATTTCTAAATCCTAAATTTACCATTTATAGATAGTCTGTGCAACTCTCTCCTGGCCTTAGTCTCATACCTTTATGGCATCACACCAACCATAAAATTCGTTATGAATAAAGCCAAAGCATGTAGTAAACAGTTTTGTTTCTTTTGAAATTTCCACAGCACACATAAATACTTCCATCTTATCACTTAATGACACCTCTTTCTACTAGTATCTGGAAATAATTTAATTTTCTCCAAGGTTACGTACCTTTTTACATAATTATCTTATTTTTCCCCACTATGCTGAAAATTTCTAGAAGACAAAAACTAAGATGAATTCTTATTTTTACACCCAATGTTTTGCATTCTGTGCCAGAAAAAATAAGCATTTAATAAATATTTGATAACACAATATGGCCTTAAAAACATTCCTACTCTTTAATTTAGCAAATTCTGCCTCGAAGGATATTTAATAAGAAAATAATATTAAACATTAAAAAGTTACATGAACAAGGATAGTTAATACAATATTAATAGCAAAAAGTTGCAAACAACTTCAACGTGCAAATGTAAGGAAGGAGTACACTCAAATAACAGGATAGTATATAACAATTAAATGGTCACAAAGAGATGTTAAGAGAACAGGAGTAAATGTTTATCTTACAGGAAAGCACGATACAAAATTTATATATGTTTGCAGGATAATTCCAAACATGGAAAAAAATAGTAAAACTCCACAAAAATATGACAAGAATTGTAAGTTGTTGTCTTTAAGTTGCAGGGCTTTAGACCATTTTTACCTTGCCTTTTCTGTATTTTCTAAATTGTCTCAACTAAGCATGTCTCTTTTAAAACCACACTCACACAATTCTGGCCCAACAATGCACAAGTGAAAGCTACGGGCTCCCTTCATGCTACACAGGAGTTACTAAAAGGGAAAGCACTGATCCTGAGAAGCTGGAAAATGAGGACTCAAGGTAACCCCCTCTAGTTAGCTTCTGTTTTCATTAAAGTCTAACAGTGGCAGTGCTGATTAGTGCCACTTAGTGAGGAAACCCATGCAGAGAGAGGTTAGGTAATCTGCCAAGGACGAACAAAAAGTGCACAGAGAAAAAAATTCAAAGTTTCATCTGATTCCAGAAACCCTTGTGCTTTCCCCTGGACCACTGGATATGCTCTTCCAGGAGAGCAAAAAAGGAATACATGAAAAGTGACAAAGCCTCTTTTCATATCACGTCCCACGCACAATAAAATGATTACAGCAGGTCTGCATTTTAGAGGCAACTGAGCACACCATGATTTTAGTAATGTGAAGTTACCCAATTTAACCCTCCCAAGATTACTCCTCTGCTCCTCTCCTCATGTCTGAAATCCACTGAGCAGAGTTAAAGGTATTTTGGTGCTGTTTGAGATCAAATCATTAAAAGCTATCTAGAAGAAGTAACAAGCTGCATGAACATATTTTAAAGTACAAGTGGCTGGTTTTCGTTCTGCCCATTTCATAAAGAAAAAGTAGATAAAGAGGAAAATCTGAGACCTCGATGCAGAGTGGATGAGAGCAGAAACTGGTGCTGTGGACAAGAACAAGGCAGAGGAAGGGAGGTTTTGTGGCAATAAGGAACAAGAACTACATCCAGTTCCCTGTCTTGCTCAGTGTCCTTGCAGAGAGAGAGCTGGGAGGCACTCAGTGTTCAGAAAGTCACCATCAGGAAACTTGGGCCAGTGGAGAGCCAAACTACAAGGAGAAATAACTCAAGAGTCCTTTGTTACGAAGTACTTCTGATGTAATTTAAATAAAAATAAATTTTGTTTACACAGCTATTTTAATGTAGAGTAAAAATTATTCTCACAAATTCCAGTGGAAAAAGGAATAAAAAGAATTTCAAAATAATTTAAAGTATTTCAACACTTTACAATTCTTACTCGTGGAATGTTAAAACATGAAGTAATAAACATGTTTCACATGTGGAATTACATACTATAACTAGTTCTAAAAAGTTAAATTCGGAAACAAGGTATTATTTCTAATTGACTGTATTACATTTGCTTGATCAGTTTTGTAACATGAACACTAAAGCTCATTAGTTCATTTTTATCCCTCAGGCCTAGCAGAGTTGCAAGTGCAAAACTGGCACTCGTGGTTTAGAATAAGAGAATGAACAAATAAATTTATAGAGACAGCCATGACACCAGGGGTCAAAAAGTAAAGCATCATAGGCCCTAGTCCTCAGTCCTCTTAAAGATAAAACAAACTGTTACAATGAATGGAAAGAACAATAATGTACTTTTCTATAAATTGACAAGGTGTTCTGCTCATTGAAAACTAGGAGTCCTAGGGCACTTGGGTGGCTAGTCGGTTAAGCATCCAACTCAAGATTTCAGCTCAGGTCTTAATCTCAAGGTTCCAAGTTCAAGCCCTGCACTGGGCTCCACAGTGAGCATGCCACCTACTAAAAACAAACAAACAAACAAACAAAAACCAAAACCAAAACCTAAGAGTCCTGGTATTACTGTATAGGCAGGAAGAATAATTAACTATGACCAAACTATATAATCTGCCTCTAGAAGACTTTCCCTGATCACTAATGTTCAGTATCAACCCCATTCACCATGTGGAATTCCATCACCTAAGGGTGTTCTAGGGCTGCTAATTCATTCTGATATGATGCTGGAAAACCCTACAGCTGAAAGTCACATGAGAAATGCTGCGAATACTTGCTCTGAACATTTTCCAGCCAAAGCATCTCTGGGCTACAGTACATAAAAAACTGCTTCTTGGGAAAATCCTGGCTTTGTCTACATTTGTCCCTCTCTCACTTCTGTGAAGTGGTGCAAACCTTTTACCAGGTAAGAATACCAGGTAGGTACTGAAGTTGTAAGTTGACATCACATACTAATATTAAACACTTTTGGCTCTGCCCCACAGAGTCAGCATAAAAGAATTTCAAGCACTTCCAATATTGCCAAAGAGATTTCCAAATGACCATTACCTATTTCTTGTTTTGTTACTCAGAGGAAACAAAATGTGTTTTTATAGAAAATACCATCTTAGGGATGAGTTATCCATCCATTCTCCTCTGTAAGTTCTACACTTGGACTGAATCAGGCCAATGGAAGATAACATTTTTCAACCACTTGTCTTTAACCCTTCAACAGGACATCTTCAGTCTCTCAATACTATATGTTCAATTTTTTCAAAGGTCCTTGGGCTTTCTTATGCTCAGTGAAACCAGAAAATTTATCTGTTCATTACATTAATCAATGTCCCAGGTATAAGCTTAATGGCATCTGTCTCAGACTTTAACCCTAGAAAACCTTTTTTCCTCCCCCAAAGAACATTTACACTTCTTTCCTTCTAATACTGAGATTTAACTTCTAATTGTTTAAGCTTAATTGCCCAGAAGCTAAGAGATTTTTATGTTCAATCACAGCAAAAATATTTGTATCTTTGTTACTGGCTTGTTTTCTCTTCCATCATCACAATGCCATAAACTCAGTCTGATTTTCAGTAACATTTTATTGATCTTACTACTGCTGCTTTCTTTTTAGGTTCTCAAATTCTTTCAAATATGAACCAAAGTATACACAAAGTTAAAAAATGAAACTCTGCACAGTCATCTTATTTTTTGGCAGAACCTAAGTAACTGTTCAAAGTACACAGAAATTAAAATGCATGCAAAAGGCAGCATGCATCACTTTTCCATGTGCTTTTATCCCCAGAAGTTTATAAATATCTTCCAAAAAGGATGGGTCACTGTCCCATTTTTTTTTAAACATACACAACCAAATCTGTAATAAGCATATAAACAAAGCTGACTCTATATGCTTTTAAAAAAAAAACAACAAAAGCCCTGCCAAAATACTGATACTGCTGTATACTGCAATACTGTATTTAAGCCCTTTTTGTCTCAGAATGTAGAAGCTTTCATTATAGCTCTGTGAGGAGGACTGATAATCAAGCTTTTTTTTAAAAAGCTCTTTATATGGAACTACAGTATTTTTTTTAAAACCATAACATGACTTAATGACAAGACAGTGGTTAAAGAAAATGCAGTACATCCATTCAATGAACTGCTATATAACTTTTTCATATTTTTATTTTTTAAAAAAGATTTTATTTATTCATTCACGATAGACATAGAGAGAGAGAGAGACAGAGACACAGGCAGAGGGAGAAGCAGGCTCCATGCAGGGAGCCCGATGTGGGACTCGATCCGGGGACTCCAGGATCGCACCCTGGGCCAAAGGCAGGTGCCAAACTGCTGAGCCACCCAGGGATCGCTATATATCTTTTTTAAATGAGAACATGAATTCATAGTGACTTATATGAAGAGTTAGCTACATTGTTTTGTTATACTGAAAAGCCCATTAACCTTGTTAAAGATAATAATGCTGTTATGATTATTTATGCAAACATTCTCATTGTGGGGAGGGAGAATTGCATGCTGGAAGTGAACTGAAAGTGCTGAGATGTCCAGTTTACTTTAAAATATTTCTACACTCATAAATAGCTATGTACCATCTGGATGGATAGTGGACATACATATATATACACCAAACAGAAAGGGCAAAATGTTAAAACTATCACTGAATTTAGGAAATGGGATTACTGGTGTTAATTATGCTTGTCTTTGGTACTCTATGTTAAAAAAAAAATCTCATAGCAGATATTTTTTAGTATATACATATATGTATCTTACTATTCTATTTTTTAAAGGAAAATATGTACACAAAATATGTAAAAATTCTCTTGAAAGCTTAGCTATGTTTATCCAGATGTGGACTTACATACTCTGCTTTATTTTCTTCTTTATACTTCATTTTTAAATTTTGTGCACTGAGCATGCATTTCACTTTAATATTCTAAAAAATAAGCTAAAAAAAATAAAAATAAAAAAATAAGCTATTCCAAAAAGCTTTCAATTCAGAACATATCACAACATTCTTATTATAAAAATGTAGCAAACAATGTTACCATGCTTAACACTTTAATGCTGGGTAGGTTTCTTCTCTCACCTGTGATGAAGACCTCGTAGCTTACAACTTTCTGTGAGCATCATTGTCACCTGAATTTCAGAAGCTTGATCTATACAAAGAAAAAGACTAATTTGTATGTCAACAGTAAAAACAGTAATAATATTTTATAAAGGTTCTGATCAATGCTACAAGACGGAGAAAAAGATACGAGGATTGGCAGATCCAAGATCCACATCCCAGGCCTACCTAGTAAAATACTGAACCAAGAGTAAAATCCAGGACACTGAAGTCAGGCACTTATGAGTCTGTGTCACATTCACTCCTTAAAAGTAGAGCTGTTGAAGCTAAGAAATCACAAATTTCATTTCATTCTAAAACTAACTGGAATCACTCTCTTCCATGCTTGCTAGCAGGTCCACTTTTCTAGACAACTTCACGTAGTTTAAAACCTTTGAAGGAATGTAAAAAGAGTGGACAAAGAGCCAAGAACTTGAAACACTTTGTACTTCTTTGGAAAAGGTGCTTCACACCAATGTCTACTAGAATAAACTCTAGTTGTCTAAAAACTGCTCAAAAATTAGAATCATCTAGGAATGGCAGAATGTGTCCTTATTTCTCCTTCTGTAATCTAAATAAATTTTAATTAAATTATGGCCAAGGCGATTTGAGAACTGGAGGGTCTTTTACAGATTGCAAGCTAGTAATAGTTGGAAGTCCACACCTAGTTAGTAATTGTTTACTTTCTTGCCAACTGGTACCAAGACCGAAGTAAAAGTTAATTTTTTAGGGCATGTCATTTTATGCATAATTTTTTTCAAATTCTTAACTTTAAAGAGCATATTCTATTAAGCAGAAGACACGAACTGGATGATGATCTAAGAATACTATGGATTGGAGAAAAAAATAATTGTATCCATTTAGTAAAAAGAATCATTTTTCTGGATTGCTTTCCTAGTCTAGTCCAAGTCTTATTAATTTTAAATATTGAAAGATTTAAGATGTATAAATCTGAAAAATATACTATAAAATGTTTACATTCCAAAACTTATAAGAAAAAAAGAAATAAAAAATACTTATTTCTAAACTGCAATATATCAGCAGCTATAAAACAAGGCTTTAATACCAATAGCCTCAAATTAATTAATTTTATGGAATTCAATTTCACAATATTCACTCTATGAAATTCAGATTCCTAATTTCAATCTCTGTACATTTCTACTGGAATGTCCATTAAGTCTGCAAATTTATGAGTTTTTTAAGAAGCCAAATTGCAATTTCTTGCTTATGTCTAAAAGCAAAGGGCAATAATCTTCTAAACACTTACTTCTTGCATTTTAAGCTGCACTTCTATGTGGCATGTAACGAAGTATATGGATTTGTGAAAGACCTTGGTCAGCTCTACATAGCTTCAAAAAAAAAAAAAATCCAAAAGAATAAATCTCATAGATACTCAATTGTATGGAGTTGAGGCAAGGACTGCGGTTAGTGCACTTCCTCTTTATTTCTCATGCAAACCGTAACCATATCCTGGCTAAGGACTCACTGTGCTTTCTCTTGTTTCCGGCTAGCTCAGAAAGAACACTATAATTACAGTGGTAAGGCACAGAAACAACCAAGGGACTACAATTTCAAGTGTATCCGGAGGGGGAAATCTTATCTTGTGAAACAGTTCCAGTATCCGCATTGTGTTTTCTTATCACTATTATTTCCCCTTTTCCCCCCTTCCAACCTTAAATCAATCCAATTCTGTACAGAAAGCTCTTCTGCTAATTTAAGATTCATTCAGAACAAATTAGTAACAGCTGAGTTATAAACTGTCCATAGATTATGTATAAACCCCAGAAGAAATATTAAAATTACAGAGAAATATTTCCTTAAAAATGGGGGAAAATGTAACAAAAGTCAACAGTTATTAAACTGAGGGTTCAAATTTTACATTTTCAAAGACTAATATGTAAAATATCCTTCAAAACTAGTCAGAAAACCTAGTGGACCTAACTTAAATATTACTCTTTAAAAGTGCTTTCAGGCTAGAAGAGGTAGGTAAATAAAATATATACTGAACAGTATAGTAAGTTAAACCATTTGTTTAGAAAACATAAAAGTTGAGTGTGTGTCTGTGTATGTATTTGCAGCATCCTTAAAGAACCAATCTACTAAATTAAAAGAAATCAACTTCCACATTTTTTTGTTAGGTTAGTACAACTTTTTAGAAACCATAATTCTACTCAGAATTCATACTTTCCATGAATTCATTTAAGAAGATTTAGAAACCTAAGTTCTTATAAATTAACTTTAAAAAGTTCATAAAATTGTCACCTCCTACATGTTAAACTGAATTTAATTTTTCTCTCAATTTCTGCATCAAAATGCTAAATTTGTTTTTCCAAAATTAACATCTTGTCATCTCAGTCTATATCATACACTGTCAGACATTAAGCACCCTATAAATTACCACATTTTTCTCTCTTAAAATGAATAAACAGATTTAACTGAGATTTAAGCTTTTATAAATAAATATCAATTATAAAGTAAAAAATTAAACATCATATTTCTCCAAAAGAATATTATGTGAAAATAGGTATTCTGTTCATGATAACCTAAACTAGTGCTACCCTTTAGCAAACAACTGGACAATATCTATCAAAATCTTAAATGTAAATACAATTGGGGCAGCAATGCCAACTTAGTCATACCTACAAAACTAAGCCAAGAAGTAGATAAACACACATGGGTATTTTCTGCAGCATTATATATAATAGCAGAAAAAAGGCAGGGGGAGTGGGAGAAAGGTAAGCAAGGCTATTCACCTTCTAACTTTCAGACTCATAGTACCTTATTTTTATTTTTTAAAATCCTTTATTAGACTGCAATATTGGGAGTGGGAAGGAGGGAAAGAGGAAAGGAGGAAAAACTAGTAACAATGTTTTTTTTTTAAATTTTTTTAATTATTATTTATTTTATGATAGTCACACAGAGAGAGAGAGAGGCAGAGACACAGGCAGAGGGAGAAGCAGGCTCCATGCACCGGGAGCCCGACATGGGATTCGATCCCGGGTCTCCAGGATCGCGCCCTGGGCCAAAGGCAGGCGCTAAACCGCTGCGCCACCCAGGGATCCCAGTAACAATGTTTTTAAGAGGGAAAAAACAAAGAATTTTACCTAGGAAAAAATACAGTATTAAATATAGCAACAATGAGGTCAAATGGATGTAATTAAACTACAAGCCTGGGCAATACCTAGTAAGTGTTTTAACATCTTAAATTATTAGACTTCTATTTTCTATACCTTACAAAAACAACTCAAATTCCCTCTTATTGAGTTAAATTAACATAGACTGACTTAAAGGTCTGGCAAAGACTGAGAATTTGAGACAGAATTTCACTGGCATGATTCACCTTAGGAAAGCATTCTAAAATGGAAAAAAAATCCTACCTTTAACTGTTTTTACAAATGCTTGTTTTTCTTTATTTGGATCCTTTTCATCTACTAAAATCCCATGGAAAATACGTCCAAAAGTACCTAAAAGGAAAAATAATAATTAATGAGACCATTGTATGACAACCTTCCTAAAATTTTAAGTACAAAATTACCTGGCACAATATAACTTAAACATAACAAGGGCATACGTGATCAACAACCTTACTCTAACCAATCTTTGTTTTTTAAATGACTATTATAAATACTTAGCAACTGGGGCACCTGGGTGGCTCAGTCAGTTAAACGTCGACCTTTAGCTCATGTCATGATCCCAGGGTCCTGGGATTGAGCCATCCCTCACCCAACCAGCATCCCCTGCATTGGTCTCTCTGCTCAGCTCTCTGCCCCTCTCCCTCTGCCCCCACCCCATTTATGCTTCCCCTCTGCCAAATAAATAAAAACTTAAAAATAAAATAAATTTTTAAAAGAAAAATTCTTTGTAACTAAGAAATACTTTAATGTGCTTTTAAAATGCCATATTTGGGATCCCTGGGTGGCGCAGCGGTTTGGCGCCTGCCTTTGGCCCGGGGCGCGATTCTGGAGACCCCGGATCGAATCCCACGTCGGGCTCCCGGTGCATGGAGCCTGCTTCTCCCTCTGCCTATGTCTCTGCCTCTTTCCTCTCTCTCTCTCTCTCTGTGACTATCATAAAATAAATAAAAATTTAAAAAATAAAATAAAATAAAATGCCATATTTAAACTAAATATATGAAAATTCTTTCTGAATTATTCTAAATAAACTAATGATATAGCCAGGAACACTGGAACTCAGTAATGGGGTATCCATAGAAGCATTTATGAATTTCTAGGCTTAGCTTCAGAATAATAACAAAGAGAAAAATGGACTCCCTCATATATTCAAAAACAGTCCAAAAAATGTGCTTCCTTTAATTACTATTTGTCACTGAGGGTGGTAGTTCAAGCCTCTCTCTTTGCTGTGATTGACCTATAAACATCTCAACTAAGAGGTGAATTCAGAGTGACTCATATGCATTCAAAACATTCCAAACTGGCTTGTGGAAGGGGGAATGAAAAAGGTAATTCTCTATTTAACAATTTGAGGGGCTCAATGAGGTACTTTATCATTAATCTCTATACTCTTCTGTCAGCATCTCTTCAATTAATAACCTAAAACTCAAGAAAGAAAACAAGGACCGGCAACTGGGGAAGGGGAGGGTAATAACATCTATCAAACATCTGTGTGTTAGTTCACTTAATGTATATCATTTCATCTAATCTTCACAACCAGTTCAAGGACAGACATCATAGTCCAAATTTAGAGAAGAGGAAATTGGACATGGAAGACATTAAATGATTTCTCCAAGGTCACACAGATGATAAATTGTGAGACTAGGATTGGAAGTTGGGTGTAACACCAAAACCCATGTTTGCTCTGTCTGCTAGAGCCCCCATACTATCTGTTACAGCAAACAGGTTTGCTAGGTAGTGATATCTTTAAACAAGAACAAAAATATATTTAAAGATAATAAAGGCTAATATACATGAATGCTTTAATATACTTGAAAACTAAGAATTATGCCAAAGCTATATTAAGGCAAATTAAAGATCAAAAGAAAGAAAAAATGAAAATCAGTTTTATAAAGGAAATAAATTGTGTACTTCTATGCTTAGACACAAAGAGATAAAATTCTTAAAATTTGAAATAAAAAAAATTTATAGTCTAAATTTTCCTTGAGAAACTGATTTGGAGATAATAAATACCTTCTTGGAGTACATCTTTTAAAGTTATCCTCTCCCTGGATATTGCTATATCCTTCACCTTAGCTTTGGCCTCCAAAAGAGTGACACTTCTCAGGTCGTTCTTCTCTATCCGCAAGGTAGGATAACCTGAGGAGCCAACAAAGCCAGACCAAGAAATATAAATACCCTTATTATGCCATCAGGGTCAACTAATTCAGTCAAAACCTCAGGACTCAAGTCACAGGAATAAATAAATGTAAGAATCATAAAAAGAAGGCATGCACATGAACTTAAACGGCCACACTAAATTTTAAAGAAACACTTTCACCTACCCCAAAATCTTAAAATGAGTAATTAAAAGAAGAAACACTATGAAACAATGAATATTACCATGACCACCACTTCAGCTGCCTTTCAGCCAAATGAAATAAGCATTGATTGGGGATCCCTGGTTGGCTCAGCGGTTTAGCGCCTGCCTTTGGCCCAGGGTGCAATCCTGGAGTCCCGGGATTGAATCCCGCATCAGGTTCCCGGCATGGAGCCTGCTTCTCCATCTGCCTGTCTCTGCCTCTCTCTCTCTCTGTGTGTGTGTCTATCATGAATAAATAAATAAATCTTTAAAAAAGAAAAGAAATAAGCACTGACTCACAGGACTTAACTCAATCCCTTTTATGGACTGTTTTCTTCCAAAGGGTTTCTAGTATAGTCTCCTAGGAAACACTTTTCAAATGAAAAGATGCTCGTAAAACTACCTTTTCTAACAAAACACCTGATCAACTTAATCAATCTCATATTTATACAGCCTAGTCGTATCACTGTGAGATACATTGGTTTTTCAGCTCCCATATTTCTCATTCTTGCCATGATGACAACAAAAACAAAAGAATCTAACCATAACTTAAACTTTTCATTCCAAGAAAAAAAATGTTAGAATAAAAGGATTCAGTATCAGCAAGTAGAAATTGAATGGTACCTCTAAGATTTATGCACTTTGGTAAACATACGGGAAGAAAACTCCCTAAAGAGTTAGCAGACCTAGATGATGGTCACCAACAGGCTGCTACAAAATCTAGATAATAGGCCTGGGAGCTTTGTGACCAACAGATTAGGCTGACAACACCTGATTCCACCGATCAGCAGTCTGAACAGGATACTTACAGGTGTGTGTCTGTATTTGTCTATGTTTAATCCTACCTGGAATTCTTGGAGTTTCTTGGATCTGTGGTCTGCTGTCTTTTGTTATTTTGGAAAATTCTTGGTCATTATATCTTCAAACAGTTTTTTACTCCTTTCTTTGTCGTTTTTTATTTGTACACAAATGGATTTCCATTTTATTTTTTTAAAATGTTTGTTTTTGCCATATAAAATAAATGAACGATCTATCTCAAGATAATGTCCATAAAAAATAAGCATATTTCCTATCGATAGTAACTAAAAATATTTTAATAAATAATTTCAATTGAGTCTTGAAAAGTATTTTGCTTTTAGCATAGAATAATTGAATCTACTTCTTCAAGTCAATCAAAAATTGACTCTAATGAGCAAAGCTTGACATCTGCACACTAAAAGCAATGATGTGTTTCTTCTGAATAATCCAAACTATTTTCATAACTATCATCGTATCTTCTGAAGAACATATAATTCTTTCTTTCATTGGCAGTGATGCTAACTACTATTATGATTTCTTTTAAATTTTTTAATCTTAAGCATTCCTTCTTCCCCCTTTTCTTTTTCTTGCCACTCTTATTAAAAAAAAAAACCAGCTCAGTTATCCTGGGGATTGTCTAACATCTGCTTCTTCCAGTATTATTTAACTTGTTCCTCTATCCCTGTATTTCATGGGATGTCTTGGTGGCTCAGTTGGTTAAGTGGCTGCCTTCAGCTGAAGTCATGATCTCAGGATCCTGGGCATGTGGCTCCCTGCTCAATGGGGAGTCTGCTTCTCCACCCCCCCTCTGCTCCTTCACCCTGCTCATGCTCTCCCTCTCTCTCAAATAAATATCCCTGTAATTTCTTGCAAACTGCCAGTCAGTTCCACAGCCGTGATTAGGTCCAGGTTAACTCCTGGAGTGGGGAGGGGAGACAAAGTACTCCATGGGTGGTATATAACGTGTCGGAGTACAAAATATCTAGTTGTCCTACTGTTAGTGATGCAAAGTTTCATTAGAGGAATCAGGCTGTGACAATCTGATCTCTCATGAGAAATGGGATCTCATCCCATTTCTCTTTGTTCACAGGATTTTAAACACTGATGATCTTTTCCTGAATCAAATATTTTAACGGAAGTTGCAAATATGATTTCCTTTAAAAAAAAAGATTTTATTTATTTGACAGAGAGAAAGAAAGCATAAGCAAGGGGAACAGGAGAGAGAGAAATAGGCTTCCCATTGAGCACAAGAGCCCAACGTGGGGCTCAATCTCAGGACCCTGGGATCATGATACAAGCCAAAGGCAGATGGCTTAACTGACTGAGCTCCCCAGGCGTCCCTGACTTTCTAATTCTATCCTTTCACTCCTTTCACATTTACTAGGTAGGATTCTTCTGTAAGCAAGCATTTTCCCTCATCAACCAGCACTACACGGTTAAACTGAAACTGCTGATATATGAAATACAGTTCATATAGCCAGTCATCAGAATGAGGTATTATTGGTGCCTTAGTTACCTCTCATAATGATCAACTTTTATCATTACAAACTTACAGATTTTTACATATTCAATGTTTCAATCCACTAGTCATTCTTTTTGATGCTTAAATGATCCATCTCTACGTGGCCCAGGTTTACCTTGTCCATTCCTGACTTAGTCCTGAAATCGTCCACTTCCCTAAAGAATCCTAGTTCCTTTTAATGGGAAACAGTACTGAAAGACCACAAGAGGGCACTGGATGAAGGGCAGATAATCTTAGTTTACCTAAAAGTAAATGCCAGCCCAAGGAAGATAACTGCCTGTAAGAACCTAATTAATCAATAACACTACTGAATTGAGCCCTGATTTGTGGTCCACTGTTTATCCTGATGATTATGTTGTGTTTTATTTGTGTGAAGACTGATTCTTCATTATGTCTAACTTGTTTACTAAGAATGATTATTTTCCCCAACATCAACATGTTACAATATAAAAACTTTCACCAAAATCCTGGTCGAAAACAACAAAAAAAGGTTAATCGTCTCCCTTCAGCTCAGGTCATGATCCACGATCCTGGGATCAAGTTCCGCATCAGGCTCCCTGGTCAGCAGGGAGTCTGAGTCTGCTGCTCTCTCTCCCTTTGCCCCTGCCCCGACTCATGCTTTCTCTGTGTCAAATAAATAAATAAAATCTTTAAAAGAAAATCAGATTCCATGTTCTCAATTCTAATGGCAGCTAGCTTCCTATCATAATCAAAAAAACAACGTGCCTAGCTGGCTCAGTTAAGCATTGGACTTTTGATCTCAGGGTCTTGAGATCAGTCGGCTCTGCTATCAGCACAGAACCTGCTTGTCCCTCTCCCATTCCTTCTGCCCCTCCCTTCCCCACCCCTCATGCTCTGTCTCTCAAATAAATAAAATCTTTAAACAACGACATAAAGTCCATACCCCTTAAGATTATCAAACAATTTATTAAAATCTAACAGTTTTCATACAGCTCAATGGCATATTCTAACCACTTGAAAATATTCCTTCTGAATTTCTCTAGAAGTGATTCAGTATCCCTTTTAATGTAATTAATCTATGGAAATCTCCCTCAACTTAATTCTAGCAATTAAACATAAATTATATTTTTACTACTCCAATTTTAGAATGTTTCCCTCAATGCTCTAGAAAGCAAAAGTTGAAGATCAAGCCTAATCCTGTGCATGTACTACACAGGATGGTACACATGCCCCACAAATACTAACAACACAGGTACTGCTGGCAAAGAGACCACAGACAACTTTATTATATCATCTTTAGAATTAAATTAACTCTTACTGGTGATAGGAGTTGCATTGTTGGGTGTGTCGGCTCTCAGATACTGAGTCGTCTGGGTAGATGGCTGAGACAGCCCTTGGGAACTACTGCTGGCACTGATGCTGCAAACAAGTTTTAAGAGAGAAATAACTGATAAGTCAGCTTCAGTGAGAAATTTCCTTTTTCTGTATCTTCAAAAATGCATGCAGCCATTATAACCAGCTTAAAATCTTGATGGCAGTCACAATAATGCATGGATGTCCGTCACAAACATTCCATGTTGAAATTTTAATCCCATAACATAGAGCTATTTTTTTCTTCTAGCTCCACAATATCAAGCAGGTTCATCTTATCAGTCATTCAGAAATGCAGGTATTAGTCCTCAGACACCATAGACAGCAGTCCTGAACCTCACACAAAGACATGTTAGGGATCTATGGGTCATCCCTTAGGAAAAGAACCCATCCCAATTAGATTGCTTTTTTAAAAAGGAGGAGAATGACAGGCCTCTTTCACTAATGGTCCAAAATCAAATAGGCCAACATGCTCAAGAGCTATAGTATCTAGCTCTAGTTAATTGAATCATATACATTTTCCTTCTTCCTCAATCCTACCTTTTTAGAATTTATGGAACTTATCAGAATTCTCTGGTACTTGAAACATTCCATTACACCACATTCTTTAGATAATATGGGAGATCTGGAAGATGGTAGGCTCAAGTAATTGCTAACCCTTTACTCAAGATTACCACAAATTAATACCTCTTAAGTATGTACTTCTGTCTCTTCAGTGGGCAATAGCCTTATCCCAGGTTACACTTGGCCATATTTGAGTTTCACTACCTCAGCTCTTAAATTTTGTAGTAGTGGAGAAGTGAAGAATAGAAATTCAGCATGAAGAATGAAATCAGATGGCAGGAAGTCATACCAGACTGTCAGGATAGGCTTCTCATGCCTGTCTTAGCTATAGGATCACCAAAGTCCAACTCAAGGCTCCCAACTTTCTTAAAAAGGCAAAATCTTTGATCTGATCACAGCTCACAGAACTGTTCTAAATTTTCAAAACCTAGTGATTAAAAAATACATAATGACAAAAGGTTGCTATTTGAGAATTGATCTATGTGAGGCTACACATGTAGTGGGTATGCAGCAGTCCAGTGAAGAGCTTAAACCTTGAAATCAAAACTGCCAACATCACCTTTTACTAGCTGTATGACCTCAGGCAAACTAATGCTTCTGTAGCCTCAAATTCCTCATGCTTAGAATGAGCCTAATTCTACCTCCTGACAAGGCTGCTAAAAGGTATATGTGAAAAATAATATAAGTAAAGCATTTAGAAGAATACACTGGCTTCAAACATACATTAATAAATTATCATTTACTTTTATTATTACTAATATTATGTATCCTCAATCCTTAAAATGATAAGGAACTAAAGAGCACCTGTTTTCAGAGTTCTAAGTACTACTCAAGGATCAGACTAAAAATTAATGTTAAAAGTCCAGAGGAGGGAAGAGAAATATTACCTCCCCGCAAAAGGGGAAAATAAGGGACCTCAATTTACTTACCCATAAAACGGGACTAAAAAAATCTACCTCCCAGGATTTTTATGAGGCTACAGTTATATAATAAATGTAAAACTACTCCTTAAAAATTACTTGCAACCAATAGACCCTGATGGTGAAATAAATGGCCAGACTCAAAACTATTTACTGGTTGTTTCTCTCCAGTAACTGAACAGTAGATGGCACTCTTGTACCACCTCAGAATTCTTGAAGTGCCTACAAAGATGTTGAGTACCTTTTCAAGAAACCATAAAACTAATTAGAGAATTCAGAGACATTTTGGCTCTTTGATGGTCTTATCCACTAGGTTATACTCTGAAAACAAGCAATATTGTAAGTTGCTTTCATTCAGGCAATGTCTAGAAAACTTTGCCTGAAAATGGAAAGAACCAGAATCCCCAATGCATGAGTGGTAACTGATTATTTTAGCAGGCTGAGGTACATGTCCCATAGAATCTGACAGTTTTTGCACAACTCTGGCCTATGTGTCTTCACAGCCCTAGCACACATGTAAACATTCAAGAAAAATGTGTCTATCTAAACTTCTATATGCTATGCTCCTCGGTGACTCCTTTAACTGTACTGGTATCCTCTCAAAGTTCTATCTAAATGTTCCTGTTCCCTTACTTCCCACTCAGAAGCTTCTAAATGCCATTTCTTCCTCTATAAACCCCAATGCTAACTTCAACACCACCATATACATAAAACCTATTCTGAAACATGTCACCCATGTATTTCTCTTTTCATTCTTATCTCCTTTCTCTTCCTTCTCTGCTCAGATAAAGCAAGTAAAACAGAGGGGCAGGTATTGAATCCAACCAAGTTCCCTGTCTCCTTGTGTTTCTGTTTATGCCACAAATATGCCTATCCACTGTGCAGATGACACTGTGTAGGCCTAGGGATTCAGCAATGAGTAAGACATTCGGCTTCCTAACTGGAAAAGGCTTACAGTCTAGTAGGAGAGACAAGTACACAGAAAATTATTACAGGAGAACAAAGTACAATAACTGGTACCAAAGAGAGACAGAGAGGGAAAGAGGGAGAAGGAGAGGCAGAGGATAGGAGAGAGAGAGAGAGAGAAAAAAACAGAGAAGGAACAAATGGGCAGTTGGGAGGCTTAGAAAAGACTTCATGAAAGAAATGGCAATAGGGAATTGAAAGCTGAAGAAGGAACATGTTTGGACTGGTGGAAAATGCAGGGACCTCTGTGGGGAAAGCATGACTAAAGTCCTAAAGGGCAAATTATGGGGCAAAAGTGTGGAACACACGATCATGTGACTGTAGCATAAGTAGGGGTACAGTAAGAAAGGTTCAACAAGTATGGGAGATACCTCTCCACATAATAGAGGGCTTTGAAAGCCAAATCATGAAGCTGGAATCTTTCAGTAACTAAGTGGGAATCACTGAGGAGGAAAATGAGAATTATGTACTGGGAAAGTAAACCTGTCATTCCATCTATACCTCTCACCCTATCTTGGCTATAAAGTCCTCCCTATCATCTCTGACCCATCTAGGCTGGGGCAAGCACCTTTTCTATTTTGACAGCATACTACACAAATCATAATCATCAAATTTATAAACTTCTATAATTACAGGTTAATGTCAATGATGAATACTTAAAGCTATAAAGTATATCATTAATTTTTTTATATTCCCAGCACTTAGTATATCTAACCCAGCATATTTCCAAGGCTACACATTAGAACCATACAGGAAACTTTAAGAAAAATGCTGATGCCCCAACACCACCCCAGACCAATTACATCAGAATCTCTGAAAGGTGGCACCCATGTTTTAAAAGCTTACCCATGATTATAATGTGCAACCAGGTTGAGAACCAATGGTTTAAATCACAGCAGGTTCTCAATAAATGTTTACTGGATGGATGGACAGATGAATGGATGACGGAGGAATGAATGAGGAGGAAGAAACAGGGCTATTTTAAAAAGGTACTAGGAGTCTGGAATAAAATCATTTTTTAAAGGGGATGGGAACAAAATGTGATCTACCAACTAAGAAACTGTAATTTCTGTTCAAAAAAATTTTTAAATAAAATCAGAAAAACACAATGACAGTAATCCCAGACAATCGTTTTTCTTTTGGCAAGGCCTGATTATCCTTCCTTCTTCCCCTGTGCACCATATGCATGGGTGTGCATGGGCTCCCATGTAAATGCAAATAACCCTTTACTTTTTTCCCTTTCCCCAAACAGATATAATACCTGTCATCCAGTTCAATTCTTTTCATACTATGAAGGTGCAAAACAGCTAATATTATTGCTACAAGAAATATTACTGCACAGCAAACTCCCACGCTGATATAAAACACACGAGTAGAAGTGGTCGGAGCTGCATGTACAGGATCATCTGAAATAAAAATGAAAAGCACATTAAGCTTTTTAAACAAATACTATCAATTTCTGTATGACCAAATATAAACAATGGGTATCCTACTCTCTGTAAAAAAATACTTTCATCTCATGTACCCACTCTTTGATGAGTTACCAGTGGTGTATTGATACAAGTTCTCATAATTTTTAAAATACTGTTGGAGGGTTTCTTTTTTAAGATTTTATTCATTTATTTGAGAGAGAGCATGAGCAGGAGGAGGGGCAGAGGGAGAGGGAGAAGCAGACTCCCTGCTGAGCAAGGAGCCCAAAATGGGGCTCAATCCCAGAACTCTAGGATCCTGATCTGAGCTGAAGCAAGACACTTAACTGAGCTAACCAGGCTCCCCTGAAGGAGCTTTTAAAAAGGGTTTTAAAGAAAACTTTTCATTAATGAGTACAAAAGTCACAAATCTTAGATGTATGTATAGCAGTGTTGTCCAACAAATCTCTGCAGTGACAGAAATTTTCTGTAGTATGTTGTCCAATAGAGTAGCCACTGGTCACTTGTGGCTATTAAGCCCTTGAAATGTAGCTAGTACTACTGAGGAACAGAAATTTTAATTTTATTTCATTTTAATTAATTTAAGTAGCCATAAGTGGCTAGTAGTTACCAAAATCGACAGCACAGATCTATATATCCTTCACATCTCTTCAACAGTGATGTCTAGAGGGGAAAGGTGAGACATCTTCTTGCCAATCACTGACTCACAGAAGGAATATACAACAGAGTGACCAACACATTTTTAAAAAGCAACAAACTAATTTTTAGTCTTTTTCTCTTATGAGAGTAACAGATTATTTTGCTTATTTATTTTTAAAGGTAAGGGAAAGATAACAAAACCCCACTCATGAAATACTATTCAACTTTCTATTATTCAAAACAGAGAGGGAAAGAGAAAACAAACCTCGGCAATCAGGAAAGTGACTCAAAGGCAGGCAGGCAGGCAGACAGACACAGACACACACACACACACACACACACACACACACACAAACTGAGGAAGATCTAGATGCACAGAGACAGAGATACATACGATCTGAGCAAGCACAGGCAAAGACAGAGAAATAGCAGAACTGGTGTAACCAAGGCATCAAGTAAGTTTTAATGATGAGTACTCACATCATAATTCTACATTCTGAATAAAACCTGAGGAATCTGGGTTTTATCCTACATAAGACAGGAAATCGTTATTAAGCAAAGGAATGATATACATGAGGAGACTTGAAAAAAAAAAAACTGACTGCATGCTGTGTAAAGAATGCTTTGAGGATTGAGCAAGAACAGGAGCAGGGAACAAGTTAGAAAGTTGCTATAGTAGTCCGAAAAAGAGACAGCAAGGATGTGGGCAAGAGTATAACGGACTGGAGGCACAGTCAACAGACCTTGCTAATGAATGATATTCGGGTAAAAGGAAAAGAGGAATCAAAACTTTGGCTTAAAGAATTAGGTGGCTAATGGTACCTTTACAAAAACTGGGGGGGGGGGCAGGTTGTGAAAAGAAAGAGAATCAACAGTTGTGTTGTATCTAAGAGTACCCAGTATACATCTACATGGAGGTATCAAGTTGACAGAAATACAAATGTGGACTTCTGAGGATAGGTTAAGGACAAAAGATAAAAGCTATTAGCTTTTAAAAACTTGAAAGATGGCTTTCTAAAATTTAAACTGATCAACAAACAGTAAATCAGAACAGATTAAATCAAAGAGACCAAACAGATTCCAGGGCAGCTAGACTTTACTACAGAATGAATGAAGGCCGGACTTTCCTCAAAGATGCCACAGGCTGTTCAATCTTGGAAGGGGCAGAAAAGGGAGGTCCCTCAGTTCATCTATGAACTATTCCTGCCAAGAGTTGGCCCTAAATCTAATCAAGTACAGAATCTAGGAGAAAGAAAAATACATTAATACCACAAAGATGCAGATATGAGAAATCTGATGGGATAAATGACTCAATTTCATCAATAAAAAAGTGATATAAAAGGGGGTGTGATTTCTGATTAAAATATTTGTCAACAAAATAGAGTGTGTGGGCTTTATTTGGATCCTAATACAGATGAGAAACTATAAAAAGATATTTTTGAGATAATCAGGTTAATATGAACAAGAACTAGCTATTAGTATTAAGGAATTACTGTTAATTTTCTTAAATGTAATATATCAAATACAAGTGGATAGGTCCTGGGGGATTGTGGGTTATTTCTTTAATTACCTTTAAAAAAAAAAAAGATTTTATTTATCCATTTTGACAGAGAACGAGCACAAGAAGGGGGAGGAGCAAAAGGAAAGGGAAAGTAGGCTCCCTGCAGAGCTGGGAGCCCAGTGTGGACCAAGATCCTAACCTGAGCCCAAGGCAGACACTTAACAGACTGAACCACCCAGGCCCCCCTTAATTATCTTTTTAAAAAGAAATTCATACTGGAATATTTATGGATGAAAGAAAGGATGCCTGGATTGTGCTTTAAAATACTCTACCCCTCCCCACCCACCTATCCATCCAAAAAAGGAGGAAGAAATCAATGGAACAACACTGGCAAAACGTTCATTATTACTGAAGTAGGGTAATGGTCATATGCAGTGTCATCAGTGCACTCTGTCATCTTTTGCATATTTGAAATTCTCCAGTCACAAATTTTAAGTTTACTTCTATGAAGAGAATCTAATATCCTTTTAAGATAGTGCTATTAAAAGTATCTCAAGAAGTGTAAGACTTGGGATGCCTGGGTGGCTCAGCGGTTGAGTGTCTGCCTTTGGCTTAGGTCCTGATCCCGGGATCTGGGATCGAGTCCCACATCGGGCTCCTTGCAGGGAGCCTGCTTCTCCCTCTGCCTATGTCTCTGCCTCTCTCTGTGTCTCTTATGAATAAAATAAAATATTTAAAAAAAAAAGAAGTATAAGACTCAATGATGCATCCATATCAGAAAAGGAAAAAAGAAGTCTAAGTTGCACCATTTAAACATAACCATTACCAAAAAATAAAAATTTACTTTGGAGTTTCTGCTCTGTAGGTTTAAATAAGTATCTTAAGTATCCTTACTTTTCAGCTGGATGAAATTAACCAGTCCAAGCCAAAAATCAGACTTTCTAAACTTCTGCTATTGAGATAAGGATCTTATACATGTTTTCATTTTCATACTTTAATTATAACCATTCAAAATGATGTGATATAAATTCTTGCTTATAGATCATGTTATAAAATATGTATGAGTTTTGCTTCACAAAAATTTCAATATTCTAATCATTTCACCTGACTCTAAATATACCAATCTACAATACATCAGTGAAATAAATAGCAAGACCTCACTTATCTTTTGACAAACTGGACACTACAAGACCTTCAAGTCTCATACAATAATGTGCATTTGCAATCAGCCATTTTTCTTCCCTGGAGATTGAAAAAGGTAACACAGTAACACTTACAAATAGTTCTGCTAGTGTTTTTGTCCAAGGCTGAAGTTTTAACTTCTTCAAGTTCTGAATTAAAAAAAAAAAAAAAAAAAAAAAAAGATAAAAGACATTTTAGAAATTCTTCCTTTTCCATGTAAATCCTTAAATACCTTAATCACATTTTTCTGAGTTTTTCTCTAACATAGTTTTGTGTTTTATTAGAACACTGCCTGAACTAAGCAACAAGGTATTTGTTGCAAGATAATAAATACTATGTTGCTACTCTGATAATGATCACTATAATCACCAATCCCTAGTCTATGGGTGTTGCTTATAGATGTTCAATGAAAAAGGGTTTCTGTGGTCTAGAAGTTTGGGGAAAAGAAATATTTTAACCTCTGTGGAGACACATAATTCACATTAGCAGAGTATAAAGGCTCTAAGGAGTTCTTAAGTAACGAAAAATATCTAATGAAGCAGTCCCCACTCACACATAAAGGAATATTTTCTTGCCAGTAACACCGATTAATATTCGATATAGGACAGATGTTTTCTGTTGCAATTTTTTAAATGTAATAGAGTAAAAAACACATTTTTTAGACAGATGCATTAGGATGACATATTAAAGTAAGAGTCATGAACTGGATTATTGGGGTGGCCAGAAGTATGACGACCAAATGGAAAGGGTGGCACTATATTAGGTCTAAAACAGAATCAAAATTACACCAGCTGTATTTTAGTGTTAAATTTCACACACACATTATAGAAAACAGAGAAAGTATGGGATCATTCTGAATGTAAGCTGATCATTAACTCAGCAGCTAACTAACAGGGGTGGGTTCCATCGATCACATCACATTTGGCCATCATCCTGCCTTTAGACATTAGACCATGGTACCGTCATAGCCTCTTTTTAGGGATCAGGAACCAGGCTTTCGACACTCTTCACTGACTGGCTGTGCCAGCTTAGGTGGTCTCTCTGGGCCCACTCTCCTCATATCAATTATATAATGACTAGGTTGAACTAGAGAGACTCTGAAGTCCACTCTGACTCTAAAATTACGGGAAAGTTAGGTACATAACTGAATATACTAGAACTGAAAAATATATCAAACACTAGAGCTAAAAGGTGCCTATTAAGTACTCACACATGGTATTCTAAGAGTTAGGTCTGATTCAATTAATCTAAAAGGAAATTTAAAAGAGTTTAAAAGAGTTTATTATGTCCTGTTTACAAATGAAAAAGCTGAGACTTAGGTTAAACGACTTGTCCCCATATCAGGCCCAGTCTATCTGGCCCCAGGCAAGGCTTCTGTGCAACACCACCTCCATAAGGAAAACACACTCAACACTAGGGGCCCTTATCAGAATCATGTGACCAGCCACTTGGGTACCATTTCACATCCCTAATGGAAAACACCCTAGCAATTCTGATAAAAGATTTTGAGACTGCAGAGCCTGAGGGAGATTCCTAACAGGCTACTTGGTGATTATCTTAGAATTTCATCTGTTAGTGCTTTCTTTTCTCACTTGCAACTATTATCAAGATTTGGTCACAAATCTGTAGAAAAATGACAAAACTTATTTTTGACCTTATCACATCTATATAAAACAAACTTTGGTAAATAAATTCCTTACTTTTGTAGCACATTTTCCTTCGCTTAAAGTTTAAGACTGTAAAGTTTTTTGAAGAATTTACTGTCAAGTTGAGCTGCATTAGTATCATAACCTCAGAATCTACTTTGCCAGTACAGGAAAGCTCGACCCGAAACACTGTTTAAAAAACAAAAAAGAAAAGATATTTTAATTTTCTAAAAATCAACATTCTAGTATTCTAGAATTCTTTGTTGCCTAAAACTAAAAATAATATTTACATAACACTAAACAAAAATTTTCAAAGAACTTACCTTCAAACTACACAGCTTTAGACATTAATATTTTTTCATCCATTATAGATATAAAAGTTAGCATTAAAGACAAACCAAGACATAAAGGAAAAGATTATTGTCAACTTTTTAAAAAAGATTTTATTTATTTATTCATGAGAGACACAGAAAGAGAGAGGCAGAACATAGGCAGAGGGAAAAGCAGGCTCCATGCAGGGAGCCGGATGTGGGACTCAATCCCAGAACTCCAGGATCACACCAAGCCAAAGGCAGACGCTCAACTGCTGAGCCACCCAGGCGTCCCTACTTTCAACTTTTGCTCATGATTTTTAATAGATCACTTTGTCTCATAAGTCCTCTTATTATTATTATATACTAAAGCTACAGAAAAGGCAAACCCTGCTACCTTACCAGTCACATCAGCATAAGAACGATTACTTGATAAAAAGGAAAAACAATTCACTATACCAAAATGTAATTATGTATTGCTCTTAATTAAGAGATTAAATATAAAGCTGTAAAGTGATAAACCTGAAAGATTAAGTAACTATGAATCTAAAAATATAAAAACCTTTCTAAACAGAAACTTGCTTTAAACAATTACTATAGCAACAAGAGAACAGACATGGGTGCACATCATTTTTTTTTCCAATCTTTCAGTTTAAGATTCTTTTTTTTTTTTTTTACAAATTTAGAGTATCATTCTATCATCTGTATGAGCATATGAAAAATATGGGCATTTCTGAATTTCTTTATTGACTCATAAAAAAGAGGAAGCCCCCTATGCTTTCCTAAAGCTTAATGTATGTCACTAATAACAATGGTTAAGACTGCCAGAAAGAGTTCTACAATACTGCTATATTGTGGAAAGTACACAGCTTATGCTTTCAAGTTTTAAGAAGTTTGTTTTGCCTTTCTTAAAATCTCATATCTTCAGGAGCCTTTCTCAAAAGGCTGACTCAACAGGCGTTAAATTTGGGCAAATATAACCCTTTAATCATTTAGTCAGAAATGTATTACATGACTATCCTGTGCAGATGCTGTGCTAGGCAACAAGGGCAGATAGCTAAAAAAGACAGCTCCAGAGCTCAGGGTAGCCACAGGCCAGCAAGGAGAGACAAGCACAAAGAATTACAAAATAACATAATTAGTTCAAAAACAGTCAAATTACAAGATCCTACAGGATAGGAAGCAGAAGAAAGAGTTAACAACTGGACAGACAGAAGGAAGCAAGAAAAGGACAGTGCAGATATTGAATCTCGAAGAATCATTAGTACAAATTAGAGTTTATAAGCAGAAAAGAGGAAAAGGCAGTTTCATATACACAGACCAATACATGCAAAGGCAAGGATGTCAAAACTTCATGTAGTATGGTGCCACTGGAATGCTGGGGCAAATGCAGCAACAAGGCCAGACAGGCAGGCAGGGGCAGAGGATAAACATACAGCACACGGCTGGAGAGTCTACAATGTATGCAGTTGATGGGGGGTAGGAAGCCCTAATGGGCCTGTTGTCATTTGGTCAGATATGAGTGTTCAGTGATGATCCAGGCCACGGTGTAGGAATTAGTCAGAGGAACGAGACCAGACACAAAGACACACGTGGAGGCCAAGGCCAGCAATGCAGAAAAGGAGACAAGAAGTGAGCGCGGACAGTTCTGGAAGGGAGGGAAGAGGGAATGGTTTAAAACACAGTGTAAATAATCAGATTTTTAAAAGTACTTACACATCTTATGCCTATCAACTAAGATACGCTGCACATCAATTATTAAACTATTCTTTTTTGTGAACAAGAGGTAGTGTAGTGGAAGGGGAGGTAGGTGGGGGGTTCAGGTGACTGGATGATGGGCACTGAGGGGGGCACTTGGTGGGATGAGCACTGGGTGTTATGCTATATGTTGACAAATTGAACTCCAATAAAAAAATTTAAAAAAAATAAAATAAACTATTCTTTTTTGGACATGGGGAACACAACTGAAAACAGAATGTTAATTCTTTCAGACTCACCTGATAAAGTGCGTGGAACTTCCCCCTGAGCAGAAATGTTGACCTGGGGCATGTCCATAGCCGCAAAATTGTCTACTTGGAATCCCAGCTTATATTCAACCTGTAAAATATAGACATAAACAAACTGAATCTGTGATAACAGAAAGGACACAGTCTGACTTCACTGATTAGCTCATTAACTAGTAAATGCATGAGCCTTTCATATGTACAAATAATCTACCTATAACAAAATCCAAATTGCTAGAAATGGTCCTAGGAATTTCAACTGGATAAAAATTCAACTCAGTAAACCACTCTCTATTTCATGTCCAGAACAGTACCACCACTCTCCTATAAAACCTGTATTCTAAGATTCAGAAATCTTGCTGAGAACTACACAGCCACTGACAGGCACTGGAGAGACAGATATGAAGAGCCAAGTTGTTGACATGTATAATTTACAGACCACTGACTAGTCACCAATGTCTTCTCTGATTGATAAATGCCAGGTCTGAGGACTTCCATGTGGCTAGTGGATGAAAATCTGATCTACAGATCCACTCACTCCACAAGCAGATTACAAAGCACAAATTTCTCATAGAATGACTCTAGCCCAGCTTTCACCATAAAGTTTATGTTTGGAAACCCATCTAATTTCTGAATCTACTTCTCAAGCAATTAAGAATCCAGAAAGAAAAAGAGGTGATTACGAAGATATCACTAGAACACCAATATTAACTATCAACAGCAATATTAACTATCAATACCTGGCCTACATAGGTGGCTTAACATAACCAACCAGCATCAATAAATACAGCCCTATCGTTAGACTGATGGTCATGGAAGAAATAGCTCAAACCGTAAAACAATAGCTGAAATTTGGAATAGTTGCCACCTTCAAGACCTTTAATGAAGCTTTATATTTCATATCACTCTCTGTATAGCCTGCTGGGGTCTTGATAAAAAATGGTACTTCTCTCCCATCTAGTGGTCACAAGAGTGGTTTTGGTGAAGAGCCAGAATTGGAGGAAGCCAAGGGGGCAGTGGGATGGGAAAAGAGGAGTAGAAAAGAGGTTTAGGAAACCATTCTTTAAGAAACTTAACTAGGAAAAATGGAGCCAGGTTGGAGGGAGGAGGAGACAGATTCTGAGGCTTTTCTTTCTTTCTTCAATGGGAGGTATTATAATGTTTGTATGCTAATGAAAAAAGCCAATGAAATGGGACGTAATAAAGATTAAAGTAAACAGGAAGAGAGTATCATCCTAGCTTATGAGAAAAGGGACTGTCTGGGGCAAAGGGTGTCTGTCTACCCATGGATAAGTATTCATGCCAATGAATTTAACTCCCCCTATGGATCTCTTTTCACACTTTCATACTCGAATGTCCCTGAACACTGTTAGGGGTATACAAATATCATAGTATTACTTCACAGTTAAGATACATATACAAACAACTGTTAAAGTCTGTATCTGGTAAGTGCTATGTTCATGACAAAGAAAATGTTTTTGCTGCTGCATATCACTGACTTAGTGGTACTTTTGGGCTTGTCACTGTTCACTTACCTTAGCATGCTGCAATACTGTCAATGCCACCAGGGGGTGCTAGAGCCGCCTGGCTAAGTGTGGGCCAAGGAGCAAGCAGCCATACTCATTGACTAAGAGAATACATTAGCTATATTCCTATACCCATGCTATCTTTGAACAGGACAATATACGAAGGGCAAGTGCGCAAAAGAAATTAAGCAAGGGGACGTCTGAGTGGCTCAGCAATTGGGCATCTGCCTCTGGCTCAGGGCGTGATCCTGGAATCCCAGGATCGAATTCTGCATCAGGCTCCTGCATGGGGCCTGCTTCTCCCGCTGCCTATGTCTCTCTCAAGAAGGAAGGGAAGAAGGGAAGAAGGGAAGAAGGGAAGAAGGGAAGAAGGGAAGAAGGGAAGAAGGGAAGGGAAGGGAAGGGAAGGGAAGGGAAGGGAAGGGAAGGGAAGGGAAGGGAAGGGAAGGGAAGGGAAGGGAGGAAGGAGAAAAGAAAGAAAAGAAAAGAAAAGAAAAGAAAAGAAAAGAAAAGAAAAGAAAAGAAAAGAAAAGAAAGAGAAAGAAAGAAAGAAAAAGAAAGAAAGAAAGAAAGAAAGAAAGAAAGAAAGAAAGAAAGAAAGAAAGAAAGAAATTAACCAAGAAGTAGATGGAACCATGAGACTGTGATCCTTAGGTAAATTATTAACTTTTCTGAGTTTCAGTTTTTGAAAAATGAGGCTAACACAACACATTATAAGGATCAAATAGGATACTTAATACAACACATCTGTCAGTCTGGCACAAGGCCCCTGGTAAATGCAGACCCCGGTGGCATCATTCCAGAATAACTACCCTACTGCCCCACTGCATTTCCCCATAAGCACCAGCTAACTACTGACCCTAGAGATTCTGACACAAGCCTCCTCTGCTGTGCTAAGGACATTGCTGCAGCCCTCTGTTCTGTTCCCCATCTTGGGACCCCCACTATTCTAAACAGCCTACTACATGCTTAGGCTTTTCACAACTGTTTTCCCCACCTTCTCCTGCAACCTGGCTTTCCTCAGAAGTCATCTTTTCCCCTGCCTATCAGTCAGTTCTTACAATACCTAACCCCCAGGGCCTAGGCAGCAGGGTCAACATTCTTTTAGGATCATTAGGTCCTCTCTAGACATTCCTCCCTTGTGCAAAATCCTCTATACCCCGAAGCTCACGATGGCTGTTCCTCATACCATCAATATCAACAACAGACAAAAACTTTGCAGAGGTCTTGGCCCTTGGCTCACTTTGTCTCATGCCATCTTCCTGGTAGCTTCAATATTAAGTATTCAGTACTGCTACATGATAAAGAATTACGCCAAAACCAAAACAAATGCACAAATCCTACCCTATCAAAGATCCCATCACTAACTCTTGATTCCTACAAAACCAGTTCTGTGACTTGGTTTCACTTTCCCAGAGCCTGTGCCCCAGAGATGACTATGTTACTGACAGTCATATTGGTACCCTCAATTGGTTCACTCCCCTCCATACTCCCAGGGGGCCACACCAGCACCCTAACCTCTCATTCTACTGCTGCTCAGCACCGCTGGAGGAAATCACATCCCTGGAGAGAAGGGTGCTTCTACACAAAGATGACCTCCAGGCTCAGGGTAGGTAGGCCCTTAATGCTGTCAGCAAGCCTTTCCTCACAGATTCCTCTCCCTCCCTAGTCTACTCATTCCAAATGTCACAGGACATCACCATCTGCTGCCCTCCCCACTTCCTCGCTCTTCAGACAATGTCCTCATCTTCTTCTGCTAGCACACAGGAACCCCATTTTGAAATCATTGTTTTCAGATGTTAGAGCACTTACCCTCCGTACTACGGTCCCAAGGAAAGATATCCTCCTCTCCTAGTATACAAGGTTCTAGCCCATTTTCACCACCAATGGGATCTCTTATCATTCACTGGTCTCACTCTCCTATACCTTCAATCTCTCCCATATGCCAAATTACCTACTAAACATATGTATATTATAAATCTTACAGCTCTCAAAACTTAACAGATTCAAAGACAAATGTATGTTTCCCCACACCTGTTGGCTCTTTTATTCTAGGTCTCAGTTATTGTAACCAGACGCATAGCTAACCAGAGACCTGAATTTCTAGGAAAGCAGAGAATGGCAAATGGGGTCAAAAGCCTTAACTGCAATGCAGAAGGCAGGGGACAAGACGAGCACCCAAGTATCTCAGAGAGGCAAAGGGGAGGGAAATGAGCTTATAAATGGAGCTGGAGAGAGGTGGTGAAGGGGCTGGGTAGGAGGTTTGAGAAGGCTGACCCTCTAACTAGAAAAGCAGCCTAGAGGAATAAGGAGTATGAAAGTACAGAAAGAAGCCTGCCCTTTGCTGGCTCCCTTTCTGAGGGACTATCTAAACATGCGAGATGTTCACAAGACATTCTCTTCTCTCTCTGAAATTCTTAGAATATTAATTTTTAAATTGTAGTTTTGGGGGTCAGAGAACAAACTGCCAATTGTCACAGTACAATTTTCTTTACTCTGCCATGTATCGATTTATGTGGAATCTCACTTGCCCATGATCCTTTGAAAAAACAGATCCGTTCTAAAGCTAACATTCACAACCTAATGGAACAAAGGAAATCTGAACAGCAGTTGTTTATCAGAAAAGAGTAAGCCAAAATATTTCAGAAAAGAAGCTAGAGAAAATATAAATATTTGAATAAGCTAAAAAATAAACATTTTTGGTAATCTTCCCTTACTTGGAAACAAATGGCAATTCCAAATAGGCAGCTGATGAGTAAAGCCATTTCCTTCTGGAACACAGTACAGATTTAAAGTGAATACATTTTCCTACAGTCTTTTAATTTCTCTGAATTTACCAAAAGTGCTGCCTTCTTCACGGAAATCCCACTCTGCAGGAGATACTGTAGGAACTCTGGACAAGTTCCCTGCAGACCCTCCTGACAATGATGAAGAATTCCTGAAACCAGAGAACAGCTACAGAGTGGACAGGAGTTGGGGGAGTATTCTGCTACACTCTGGTATATTTTTGCCTTCTAGCTATCTAAAATATCTACTGACATTTAACAGATGCAGTGGTATGCTTTTCCCCCAGATATCAGAGAATGTTCTGGAATTTAGAAGAAACTAATTCTTTGTTAAAACCACCCAGCAGTTTTTGCTTTTCTGACCATGTGGTCTTGTGAAAGAAAAGAAATACCAGAGTTCTCATCCCACCTGGAAATGCAATTAACCAATGGTATTTAACTACTACTCAACAGATGTCAAGAATAAGATACAGCTTCACTTCTGAGAAGACCACAGTCTATTTGGCAAGACAAAACAACCAAGTAAACACTGACAAACAGCACTATTAGCAAAAAGCTTTGATAAGTGAAAACCAATGTTAAAATATCTACAGTGTGAATGGGCATATCAAGGAGAGCCTGGAGATCTCTGGAAGCAAACATTTTATTTACCTCCTGGCATACCTTAAAAAAGTAAGAACTGAGAATTTCTGATAAATAGTTAGAGCTTACGAGCTGTGGCCTTCCTCCAGAAAGTTCATGACTGCACCTTAGAGCCAAAATGATCAGGTGAAGAATCCTGT